AAAATAAAATAACCTAAAAGAAGTTGTAGAAAGTTTTATGATCTTTATATTCTTGTTCTCGCTTTATTTTATAAGGAGTGATTCTTTTTTGTTTTCATTTTTTGTTTAGGTTTCAATTAAGTGTTTTCATGCTAATTATTTAAGAAAAATATACAAGAAACAATTGCCTTTCATAAAATAAAGCATGAACAAAAAGATAGAGCCTTTTGTGTTTAATTGTCTAATTTTTTTAATTAAATTTTGTTTTGTTCTAGTTTTAATTTCATTTTTTAAAATTTTTATCTTTTTATCATAAAGATGTGTGCTATTTAAAACAGCGAACAAAAATGTCAATTGTCATTAAAAATAAATAAAAAACACGTTGCAACTCAAAAACGAATGACGTCATCAATATCAATGTCGAAATATGACTTTTAAAAAAATAAAATAAACCTATCGAAAATTTTTTTTTAAAAACTGCAACACTGTTCTAGCACCACCAAAAATTTTGAGCGCTCTACTAGCTACGGGCCTGTTTTGTTACCTGAATACAGTTACCTAAAGCAATTAAAATAAGGCCAACAAAAACAAAATAAAACTATAAATTAAAAACTATTGTTAATAAAAGATAGAACATAGGCAGATAATAGATAATAGAAAGAAAAGAGAAATAACTAAATAAGAGAATGCTTAAACAATAAATGGGAGAAAGATATAAAAAAGCAAACTTTTTTCGAAAAAAGCAAATTGGTACAAAGTTAGAAGTTTGTTTTTTGCAGTAGCAACGAGTTTGTGTTTAAAAATCAAAATTGGAAAATGTTTTTGTGTAGCGAAGGGCCGGCTCGCAATATCACATCGTAATTCCATGATGTAAACCTCTCCTGGGGTATTATTACACAAATTGCTTTGAATTTTTGATGAATCGTCGAGGAGTGGTGATAATTATTTAATAATATAATTATCCCGTCTATATGGTCTTCCACGTGTGTGCCGTCAACGTGAGAGCAAACATGAACGTATTCATCGGTTCTTGTTTCGTTTAATTAACACTATCGAAATGATCAGAAGTGACTTAAGACCATTTACATATTCAAAAGGCCAAAACGTGTAATTTAAATTTTTATTCGATCCTTAAAAAACCAGTAGCTAATGGTGAAAATGTCCGATTTTATTCTCGGTGGTGGTACGCAGGGCCGTAACCAGAATTTTAATTCGGGAGGGGTTTCTTGTTGGTCCATGAATAAAATAAAAGAAGGCAGATTAAAAATCAAAAATCTCTAAGTATACGTTTTTATTTTATTTTTAAACATAAAGAAATACAAATTAACTCACAAAAGTAACAAAAAATAAAATAAATTTTTAATATTTTTTATTGTTACAAATTTAAAAATTAAAACAAAAATTCCATGAACATAAATCGAGAAATGCTACGCAAGGGGTGCGTCTTTTAATAGGTTTTTTTTCAATATTTCCGAAATCATTTTAGAAAAAAAATTCAAAATTTGGTTCAGATGATAAATTTTATACACCTAAACAAGTACAAAAATAAAATTTTGAAACTTTTAATTAGGGATTCCTAAACTAGATGGGATTAGGATAAAAACTTACTCAATTTTGCCTGTGGTTTCTTGCCACTTTCAGCAACAAAATTTCATAGTTTTTCATGTTGTTCCGATACAATTTACAGAATTTTAGTAAAAATCGGTTTAAAAATTTATGTTACCCACCATAAACAGCATTAAAAAACTAAAAATTAAATTTGTTTTACCATTTAGGACGCCTCTGAATAAAAATTTTGTTATTTGGCATTTGTTTAGGTGTACATATAAAGGTACCAAATTTTGTAATTTTATCT